ATGCTGAACAGGAGCAGGAATGAGAATTTACTAGGAATTCATGTTCAAAGGATCATCTACCTTCAGAACCAATACCAGCATTTAATTTCATTAGTGACCAACTATAAACAACTGCAAACATACAAACACAAACTTGCTCCATCTCCTTGTGGGAAATGCAATCACTTAGACATTGTTATAAATACAACCCTTTGCTGCAAACAAATACCTACCCTTTTCTTGAAGCTGGACCAAAAAAAGCTTTTTGTGCTCTTTTGGCTTTGTAATATGAGCTGGGATATAGGGATACTAGAAGAAAAATGATAAAAATTAGTTGTACAGAGTTTTGAAAATATTGTGCAATCTAATGTGCTGCTTTATAAATTATCAAGCACTGTGCAAGCTTTCAGTGTGTCATATATTTTTCGTTCATGGCATCAAATAAAAAAACCCCAAAATTTTACCATAAAGTACTTAAGGAAGGAGTGCTGTTGCTGTCACAACTAGTGACAGGATCTAAATGGGCACCAATACTCACAAGCAGTTGAAACAACCCAATAAGACAGAAATGCATAACAGCAAAATGAGCCTTTAGAAATAGGGTAGTGAGACTAATTTATTCACAGGGCATCTGTTCCATAAGCTGTTGCAAGAGTTTCCATCGTGGCTACAAAAGGAATTTCAGTGGTGCATCTGTCTCAGCACAGAACTGGAAGCTATTACATCCAGTGGTTTCTCATCCATCATGACATGTGTGAGGAGGGGAATAGAAGTTTCCAGAAAAAGAGGCTGCAGTTTCTCCCCAGTCACCGAAAGGAGATAAAACAGGTAAAACCCAGAAAAACTAACTGCTCATGCAGCAGGTACTCAAAAAGGCCAGCCAGTGGGTTGAAGGCTTTGGAAGTACAATCAGTACTTGACTGAAGAGGATGGAAGCCCACAGGAGTACTCACCTGAGGAGGTTCAAAGTTTGGTCTCCACCAGTTGCCAATGCAGTCATCAATCACCCAGTCCTGCTGAACACCATCCTGGCGACCCAGTATCTACCAAAAATCCAGTAACAATCACAACTCTAGCTATCCCAAGTCCATTTTTCTAGAAAACTGAAAGAACAAAACCTTTTTCTGGTATAGTTTAGAACTGCTCTGAGACAGCTTTCAATAGAATTTGTAGAGTATTTTTGTATAAAGTGGAATTTTTTCGTAAAAGCCTCGCCTGGCAGGACAAGGCCACTTTAGAGAGCATTTCAAATTCCATGCTGTATTCAGCTGGCCTGAGTCCTATCTGACCAATGGGAAGAATGAAATACATTGTTACACTAGCTGGCAGAAGTAATTTAGGCTAATTGGAGGGCATGGAAAGTTACCAGTGCAACGGGAGGACTATCTCAAAGGCAAGGCCTCACCAGCTGTGCTCCACAACACATTTTATTGCTCATCTGCACATTCACTTGCCTGAAGCCAGTCAGAAAGCAAAGCTGCAAATGAACACAGGACTTGAGCAGCAGCAGGAGTCAGCCACACTCATGATGCAGACAAATGAAAACTTGACTGCTTATTTGTAACTACCTGAGAACATCACAAAAGCAACAATAACAGCAGCGGTAAGAAGACCACTCTAATGTTTTGGCTTATTCTGCTAATTCTAAGATAATGTAACATTCTGCTATGGAAACATAACAACAGAAAACAGACCTCTGTCATTAAGCGTTTGAGCCCTTCCACCTCATCTTCTCCCGGATTCAGTTCACCACCAGGTCTGTTAAAATAACAGTGAGGAAAGCTGAAGTTACATTTTATTGCATTTACCAACTTTCACAGGTAAGTTCAGATGTGCTTCCAGGCAGGGAGTTACAAATTCTTTTATGGTCCTTAAGTCAGAAATTCCAAATCTAACTTTGATATTGAAGACAGCAGGATAACTTTCACCAAAACCATGACTAAAATGGCTACTCGTGTCTCTTATAAAAATAACTATTATATAAAATACTTTCAATTCAGCAGGACAAAGCATAACAATATACATGATAAATATTGGGACAATTAAAGGGTAAAGTTTTAACAATAATAACCAAAAGCTGAAGAAAAGGTTGTAAATACTGCCTGTATTTATTGTTATCTCAAAACCAGCACACACTGAAGCAAACAGAAAGCAGAAAATAAAACTCAGATGGGGAACCGCCCCACATTTGATGCACAATTAATGAAAAATCTAAAACCACATTTTCATCAATACAGCATTTCACAAGTCTGTTTGTGCACAAACACCCTTCAAATCAAGACGTGAAAAACTAATCTAGATATGAAATGAGACTTCACACATACACGAAATTGAGAGCAAACAATATAAATGTTAAAAACAAGAGCAAGAACTCGAGCAGGGTAACTTGAGACAAGTCAAGACCATCTAGTTTAAAACAGAAAACAAGCACCACCACCATATCCAAACGTTAGAATTTCACTCTGGCACTGATAAATATGAGAGGAACTGAAGTGATTTCCTCAAATTTAGATGCCTCCCTTTCTTGCTATCCCAGCTCACCCAGTAGTTTGTAACCAGGTATCATTCTGTATTTACAGGGGGTTAGTTCTTGAACTAAACTTGCCTGTTTTTGCAGGCATAACATAAGCTATGGAAGCATAACAGCTTTCACAATGCAAGTACAACACACCAGCTGCTGATAATGACTTTTAAACAAGATTTTACCACAGTGATGCACTGTAACTAAGATTCCCAGCTGGTTCCAAACTAAGTCACCCCCTCATGAGCAGTCAGACAAACACTTTAGATGAAAACCCCACCACTCAAAAAAAGACTTTCCAGACTAAGTTTTTGCAAGAAACTAATCCCATTCAAAACATCAACCAGTTGGCCACAGTTTAACCTCTAGCCCGCGTGTTTAGTGGTCTGTGACAATAAATTAAAGTTTAAAGTTTAAGAAACACTTACAGCTTGAAAAAAGTTGTACCCAGCTGCAGCAACAGCACGTGGGGCAGCCTGTGCTCGTGCACGATCAGAACCCCCTCCACCGTCCTCCTCATGCCAATCTTGTCAAACTCTTCCCTCATGCGCTGGAACCGAGCGGCCACCGAACTGTCCTTCTCATACAGGGGCTCCTTGGTGCCAAACGTGTAATTTGTCAGAGGATACCTGCAAGGGGGGAAAAGTGTAACTGCATAAAGAAACCGAACTTTAAATCTCTCTGACACAGCACCTCGCCTGAGGCAGACCCTTCTGTGCCTGGTGGGTAACTCAGAGTGCAGGGCTAAAATCCTTGCTGGTGGCTCACGGGGCCCTTGTCCCAGAGAGATCTGCTCGAGGAACACACGAGCACAGACAGTCCTGCTGAGCCACACACCAGCCTGGTGCTGGCTCAAAAGAAGGAAAGAAGCCCAGAAGAACCAAATGTTATTCAACAGCCACCCTCTTTGATCTCCATGCCACAGAGAAAAGGCAGCTGAAGCTCCAAGAGAAACTGGAAAAGAGACCAGAGGGAAAAGCTCTGCTGGGAAGGAAAGAAGGAAGCTGCACAGCACTGCAGTTGTTTTCTGCAGATGTAATGAAGGGCCTGAGAACTGAACTGTTAGAAGTGGTTTTGTTTTGAAGTGGGGAATCAGGCATCTGGATGACAGAAGAGGAGAAATGCTGACTGTCTGAGTGCAGGGTTGAGAGCCTGGGGTAAGATAAAGAGTGTGAGCAGATCCCTCTGTTGGGCTGGTGCTGGGCCTCTGCACTCTTGGGACAGTGCAGTGAAAACTCAGTGATTTCTTCAAGTAAGAGGGACTTAAAACAGTCAGAAAAGAAAGAAAGTTTAGGCAAGAAATGGCCTAGACTTTAAAAAAAATATGCTGATAACACAGCTTCCCAATGAGTCATTTCTTCAGAAACTCTATAGAAATATTCCAATCTCTGAAGCTCACATTTGAATTTTCACAAGACTGAATAAATTCAGCTACACCAAAAAATACAAGTGTTAGTGATGAATAGTTAAAATTGAATATTGACTGCTGCAGTTAACATCTGCTGGTTTTTGCAACTTGACAGATGTACTTACCAAAGAATTCTACGTCCACCAGAACTTTCTGGAAGAAGCTAAAATACATGGCTTCTCATTAAAAAATATGTAAATACTTATTAGCAAGTAGTTTGTTTCTATGGCAGAAATAAAGTTTTCTCTGGTAGCAACCACTCTTATTTAAACCCCAACACCTGCATCAGACAACCCACAAACACCAGGCACATCCAGCTACATCCTACGGACTGGGGTCACAGGGCCAGCCCGAGTCCCAGCGAGGCCAAGAGAGAGCCCGTTTCCCTCTCTGCCGCCTTCCCGGATAATCCGCGAGAGTGTCTGTGACGCTCAACAGGCCCAAACCCTCCCTGTGTTACTCGGGGCTCACACCTCCCGAGCCAGACGCTGTTTTTAAGCACTAAAGCGTTCACTCCCCCAAGGCCGGCGAGACCTCGGTACCCCGGTACCCCCAGTGCGGCTCAGCAGCCCCCGCGAGGGGGGAGCCCCACAGGCACCCGGGCTGTGCCGCCGCCCTGCCCTCGGCTCTCCGGGAGGCCGCGACCCTCCGGCCCTCGTAGGGCGGGCGCTGAGCGCAAACCCCCCGGGGCTATTGAGGGAGCGGGTAGGATGGGGCAGGGGCGGGCAGGCCCGAGGCGGCGCTCACAGGTTGATGGTTCTCTCCAGCGTGAGCGGCTTCGTCTGCTGGATGTACTTGTTGCCGAACTGGTTGACCCCGCGGGGCCAGCCGGTCTGAGAGCGGTTGGGCGGCACCACGGACATGGCGGGAGGCGGCGGGAGCGGCGGGTCAGCGCTGGGCGGCGGGAGCCGCGTCCGCCATTAACGCCCGCCCGGCCCCGAGCGCCGCGCGCCGCCTGCCGGGGCCGCGCCCCGCCCTCCCCTCCTCGCCCATTGGCCGGTGGCACCCCGCCCCGTCCCCCGAGCCATCCGATTGGCCGCCGGGGGCGCGGCGCGGGGGCCGCCGGGAGTTGCAGTCCGGCCGGGCGGCGTCATGGCCGCCAAGCGCCGCGGAGCGGGCGCGCCGCCGGGGGCGAAGCGCGGGAAGCGGGAGGCGCGCGCCGAGCTGTGCGCGGCCCTCGGGGACGCGGCGCTGCGGGAGCGCGCGGGGGCGGCCTGGGCCCGCGGGGAGCGGCTGCAGCACGGTACGGCACGGTACGGCCTGGTACGGCCCGGCATGGCCCGGTACGGCCCGGCATGGCCCGGTACGGCCCGGCCGGGCACGCGGGGAGCGGTGCGGCACGGTGCAGCACGGTGCAGCCCGGCCCGGCTCCCCGGCCCTCACCGGCGGCCTTTCCCTGGCAGAGGCGGCGGCGCTGGAGCCGGCCCCGTTCCGGCACGCCGTCATCCCCGGGTTCCTGGCGGGCGCGGCCTTCGCGGAGGCGCTGCGGGACGAGCTGCTGGGCCTCGGCTTCCGCGGGCGGCACAACGACCTCCTCTCGCTGCGGCAGGTGGGCCCCGGGCCGGGCCGGGCCGGGCCGTGCTGTGCTGAGCCGCCCTAACCCCCGTCCCTTCTTCTCTTCCATGGGCCGCCGCAGTCCGAGGAGCTGGGGGCAAGCCCGGAGCCCCACATCGCCGCGCTGAGGTAAAGGATACACTGTGACCCGCAGCAACAGCACCTGTAACTCTTTAAATAGTTGGGAGACAATAAATTAGTTTAGTCTATGGTGATATGGATGCTTTGTAACATGGGAGGACATGTACCCTATGCTTGTCTTCTCAGGAATGCTCTCTGTGAAGAATTCCGACCGTGGCTTTCTGCTGTGACCCAGATAGAGCTGGAGCCAACTATTGACATCTCTTGTGCTAAATATGAGTATACTGGTCAGTATATAAGTGATCTTTTCCCTAAAGCTTGTAGGAAACAAAATGTCTATGGAATATCTAGTTTTATAACCCATCCCAACCCTTTTCTAGTTCCAGAGGGTCCCAGAAGCAGCAAATCAAAGTCTCAGAAAACAGAGTGCAAATGATGGAAAAACTGTTGCTGTAGTTCTGTTGCTGGTGGCTTTAGCTGGGCCTGGTGCTGTTGCAAGTCCCCACCTTTTCAGAGATGTTCAGCCTCTGTTTATGTGGCTGCTTCCATGCAAGAGTGTGACATGTTCATCTTCCAAATGCTGCAGTCGAGTTTGTGAATTCTAACGGCAAAATGTCACTTGGTGACTCCAGGTTTCAGCTGTGCCTGTGCTTTCAGTCGTGAAAAGTCACTGTAGGAAGGGGGAATTTTTAATTGCAATCAGCTCTAATTTTTAAAAGTCTTTTGCACAATCAGTTGCTGGTCCAGCTTTTCTGTTCTCAGGATTCCCCCTCCTCTCTATTCCAGCAACAAACCTACTCCGTTCAGAAGTCAGAGCTGGAGTCATTGTTTAGGTTGGGAATCTCTGTCCCCTGTGCCCGGTGGCAGCCAGAAAGGGGTGGGTGATAAGGTGTGACTGCTTGTACCTTCAGAGGGGGCTCATCTGCCAGCTGCAGTGCAGTCCCACAGAAGGTAACCTTGCAGATCTCGGGCTGGTGATGCCGATGAGCGAAAATGCAGTTCTTGGGAGGAACGTGTTTCTTCTTGTCGTGCCCCAGCGGGGCCCAAGCTGGGAAGCAGTTGTTGGAATGAATCACGTGTGTGCTGGAAAGATGCTGCAGCAGCAAAAGGTGTGTGATTGCAGATGTGTTGCTGTGCCACGATGACGAGCTGGAAGGTCGGAGAATCGCCTTCATCCTGTACCTCGTCCCAGCCTGGGAGAGCAGTGACGGGGGAACGCTGGACCTGTTCAGCACGGACGGTGAGAGCTCGGCCTCAGGGGGGTGAAAAACACAGAGCTCGTGTGCACCTTGCTGCAACTCTCCCCTCAAACAGTAGCAGGGAGATAAAGAGTTTCTCCTTTGTCCACAAAAGCGGATGTGTAGGTAAAATTCGCACCTTAGGGATGGGCTGTAGTGGGGTTTACAGACAATGAGCAACAGCAGACAAAGAAACAGCCTTTTATTCTGTTCTTTTGGAAGGGCTGAGAGTGGAGGCAACTTGGAAGCAATGCCAGTAACTGTGCTTGGAACTCCAGAATGATGACAGTAATGTCCCTTTCCAGCAGCAGAGCCACAGAATGGTTTGGGTTGGAAGGAATCTTAAAGATCATCTAGTTCCAGCCCCCTGCTGTGGACAGGTGCACCTTCCACTATCCCAGGTTGCTCCAAGCCCTGTGCAACCTGGCCTTGGACAGTTCCAGGGATGGGGCAGCCACAGCTTCTCTGGGCAACCTGTGCCAGGGCCTCACCACTCTCATAGTAAAGAATTTCTTCCTAACATCTAATCTAACCCTGCCCTCTGTCAGTTTGAAGCCATTACTCTTTGCCCTGTCACTCCATGCCCTTGTCCAAAGTCCCTTCCCAGCTCTCTTGCAGCCCTTTTAGGCACTGAAAGGGGCTCTAAGGTCTCCCTTGGGCCTTCTGTTCTCCAGGCTGAACAGCTCCAACTTTCTCTGCCTGTCTCCATAGCAGTGCACTGATTCCTCACCAAGCCCTTGCCCTGAGCTCCATCCCTTATACCCAGGTGTCCTACCAGTCACTGTCATGAAGTGAGAGAGAAATAGCAGTTTCTAGCAAGTTCCAGTTCAATATCTTAACCAGAGTATGTTTTCTCCCTCCTCAGAACACCTTCAGCCACAGCACATCACCAAGTCATTAGTACCTTCGTGGAACACGCTGGTTTTCTTTGAAGTGTCTCCAGTCTCTTTCCACCAGGCAAGGAGCTGTCTCTTGTTCATTTTTTGATTCTCATTGTTGTGGTTGTTCCCTCTGTGTGTTATTACAATCCTGGTGGGGAGGGAGAAGAACTGTGGCTAGAGCAGATACTCATGCTAAGTGCTGTGTGCTAAAGGCAGGGCTTCAGGGACTTCAAGGAGGACAAGAACTGACAAAGCCAACATTAAACTATCAGTCTAGCTTCATCATCCTGGGAAAGGAAAACTTTTGTTTTGTGTTGCTATCCTGGCAAGCCCCTGCTGTGAATTTGGCTAGGGCTTGTTTTTGTTTGTTGGCTTGTCTTAAACTAGCTCACATTTTTCATGCGGGTGCCATCACTTCACTCCAAAAGGGCTCCTGAGCCCACCACCTTGCCAACAGGGGCATCATTTGTGCTTTCTCTTCACACTACTGTTACAGCACCTTAGAGTGTGAAATTGTTCCATTTAGCCCAACCTCTGCACAATTTCATGAAATCAAGATTTAACAGTGACCATCACTGTGGGAAAACTAAGGGTTTCCAGAGCCCAGGGTAAATGCCAGGATAGAGGGTCTGCTCTTAGTCTGAAAAATAAGCAAAGAGCCTTCATGCTGGCTCCTGTTACAGCATTTTTTAAAAAGTAAAGGACAAAAAATCAGAGCAGTGTAGCCTGCCAAGGCCCACGGGTTGTTGTCTGACCTTCCAGACTAAGCTGTGACAGCTGATCTTTGCAGTCTGTTATGGCTGGTCCTTCAACGGAATAAATGGTAGAAAAATGAAATGCAATTACTTTATAACAGAATGACAAAGCTCTCAGAGAGAGCTCTGCTGTGAGCTTGGAGTAAAAGCTTAGACTGGAACTCTGGAAACACACAGTGGACTTGAGCATCAAAGTTTGCCTTAGGCCTCTCTGATAATCCCACCTGGTCTAGTGCTGTCTGACTCCAGAGAGCCCATGCAAGTGGGCTCTCTGGGGTCAGGTCCATCTCCTGTTGTGAGTTTCCAGGGTGGCTGTCAGCCCTGGTCCCAGCAGTGCTGTCACCCAGCAGTGACGTGCTCGGCTGTTGCAGGTGTCCGAGGTCGTGTCGCGGAAGTGCCGCCTGTCCGTGAGCGGTTGGTTCCACGGCCCGGCCGTGCCCAGACCCACACGCCACGCTGAAGCTCCCTTGCCCAGGAGCCCCCACATCCCCTACGATGTGAGTAACATCTGCTTATCTGCATTTCTCTCTCTTTTCTTGTTCCTGTAGTACCTGTTACGGGAGGCAGTGATGCTCTGGGGATGCTTTAATCCTATCGCATTCTCCTTTTTGTTCCCTGTCCATAAATTTGTATCCAGTTTCTTTCCCGTGCATCTTTCTTGGCTCTGGATGTTTTGCATACCTCCAGTAGTTCAGAGACTGCAGCAAATACTTGTGGTGCAATGAAATAAAGGAATGGAGTGTGTGTGAGGGAATGCAGCCCTGTGGGCAGCTCAGTATGGGGAACTGAGGAATTTCACTTTTGCAAACTCAGCATTGCAATCCATTTCCCTTCCAGCATGAAATACTGTATGAGTGGATCAATCCAGTTTATTTGGACATGGACTCCCAAGCTCAAATCCAGGAGGAATTTGAGGAACGATCAGAAATTCTCCTGAAAGACTTTCTTAAGGTGAGCCTGGTGGTTCAATTGGATCTGATCTGCCAGAACAGGGTGACAGGTACCACCTGGCATGCAGGCTGGGAAAGGGCTTGCTTGCACATCTGTTAACTAAAACACCTAGTTTCATGCCCTAAAGGGGAATGGACCTCCAGAGGTCCTTTCCAACCTCAACCACTCTGCGATTCTGTGGATGGATCCCCTCTGACTGCCTGTACACTGCTGTGTAGGGACTCACCAAAAATCAAGCACTTGTATTCAGCCTTATTTCCTGCAAGAAGCAAAGCAGAAGGCTGGAAACCCATGTCATCCTTCCTGCTTCCCAGCCTTTCCCCCAGCTCTTGCAGTCTAGCACTTGGAGAACTCCATGTGTGTGTGAAACAGTGACCCATGAGAGGTTTGTCTTGAAGGGCTTTGCCTCTCAAGGCTGACTGACCTGTGGTTTACGGGGCACCTGTATCTCAGTGAAGCTGCATTCTCACCCAGCAGACAACCCAGTAGCATCTGATACCTGCTGGTTGCTGACACTGAAAGGACACGACGCCCTCCTAGGCAGTGCCTCTAAATTCAGCAGTCTGGGGATCCTCAAACAAGTTAGAGTGCCTTATCTGAAGACACTGCTTCTGGCACACCTGGGAGCTGAATGATAATGTCTCTGCACTATCTTTTTTTTGCCTAGAAAGAGAAATACCAACTACTCTGTGAAGCATTGGAGAACAAAGAGATCCAGTGGAGCAGTCGGGGGCCTGCCAATAAAAGGTGAGGAATGGCAGCACACTGCAGCTGTTGGTGAGGCCAAGCAGGAGCTGCCATGAGGCTGCCCTGGTTCATGCTGCCCCAAAGATGTGGTCCTTGTTGGCTCTCCAACAAGGAGATACACCTGCTGTCTTTCAGGCTCTATGAGGCAGCAGAGGAGGTCAGCCTCCCTGACACCCTGAAGAAATTCCTGCAGCTCTTACGCTCCGAGGCCTTGTTTTTGCTGCTTTCCAACTTCACTGGCTTAAAGCTGCACTTCCTGGCTCCCTCTGATGAGGATGAAGATGCTGGGGAAGGACGAGCAGCGGACACTGCTGGGCACAGAAGTCCCAAACCCGAGCAGGAAGAAGCTGAACAACATGCTGAGGGCAATCCCTGTGAGCCAGAGCAGCCTGACAGCTCTGGTGAAGCGCAGGACGGCGAGACACGGAGCAGTAAGTAGAGCAGCAGCAGTGGGAAAGGGCTCGAGCACAATCCTGGTGCTAAGAGTGCTGGTAGCAGAGTTCCCAGTGATTTCCATGGAACCTAGTGTTTCATCTTGTGCTGCAGCCAGCACAGGGCACCAGCACAAATGTGGGACCTGAAGCACATCAGATTGGGTGTCCCAAAATCAGCGACCATTGCAAAAGAATTTGGAGTAAATTCATGACTAACTCAAAGTTACCATTTTGAACAGACCTAAGTCTTAAGGATGGGACTTTGGGGAGGGCTGTTAATTGCCCAATAAGCTTTTGTCAGTTGTTATGTGGCTTCTACATACAAATATCCCTGCTTCTTATAAATCAGATTTTCATGCAAGGTAACAAATCCAAAGGAAAAAGGTGAACACATCAGCATAATTTCAGAACTAGAAAAGTGATATACCTCAAAGGTAGGATTTAACCTTTCAGAAAACACTGTCAGCCTTAATAACCATTTACTGTCAGCAGTGAGATACCACTGCTGTCAAGGATGAGATTAATTTTGGATGCACAGATTGGTGATGTTTGTTTGAAACAGTGGCTCTGAAGTTTAAGGGCAGAATTTTTGAAAATGCACATCTTGCACTGAGCCAGGCAAATTAGTGGACACTGGAAAAAAAGATAGTAAAAAAAAAAGTCCTAATGAAAAATCCCATCAGAACACTTAGTAGGAACAAGGCTTTGTTTTTCTGGTTTCCACAGTCATTTGGCTCTTCCGTCTGCCCTGTTCCTACCGTGTGATTTTTAATTCATATATGAGGGGGGCATAGTTTGAGTCTACATGGGTTGAAAACTGAGCTAGACCCATGAGAAAAGAAAGGCTTCCCCAAATTCTGACATACCTCCTTGGATGGCACACACAGAGTGAGTTCAGAGCAATGTCCTTCTTCACTGGGGTTTCTGGTAGTTCCTGGGTACTTCCAGAGCAAAAAGGATGCTGGCTCTTGAGGTTTGGAGCTCTACTGTAAATCCAGGGGAAACACAATAAAAAGGGAAGAACTGGTTAAACTAAAGCACAGGAGAGCTTGGAGCAAATGTTGGTCCCACTCCTACATGTTCAAAGTACACGACCTAGAGCCACCTCTAGGACAGATGTTAACGTGCCATCCGTGGGTTTACCTTTCCTTGGCTGGGGCCAGCAGGTGATTTCAGTGGTGTGACAGCCCCAGGCCTTGCTCCCCACGTGCTGCTGCCCAGCTTCCCTGCATTCCCTGGCATATCTGTGCCCTCTCCTAGGCTCGGGTGCCCCGGTGTGTGCGGGGGAGCTGCGGCGCTGGACCCACGGGCACTACACTCTGGTCCACGACACTCAAGCAACAGAGTTTGCTCTCGACCTGCTCTTCTTCTGTGGCTGTGAGGGTAAGTGGACAGGAGAGGTGTCACTCTCCTTTACAAGCTTTGCACGAAGGAGTTCCTTCTGGCTTCTCAGCAGTGCTAAAACAACCAAAATTTCCCTGCTTTTTCCTACATGGAAGGTCTCTTTAAATTTTGCCCTAGTCCTCACTTCGGCATAAACCCTTGTTTCAGTAGTCTTTGTGTACAAAGATTTGGATCGTGGCCTTGGAGTCAGCTCTGGCCTTTCCTGCTGGAGCCAGGAGGTGGCGCCTGGGCAGAGGGAAAGGCTGAGTCTCCCAGCCCTTTCCTCTCCTGAGCAGCGGCTCTGGGCACGGTGGAGGGTCAGGTGGCCAGAACACCCGCTGAAAGTGTTCTGTTCCACCCCTTTTCTCACCAGAATTATCAACTGCACCTCCAGTTCACAAAGCCCAGGGTTTTCAACAGTTACTTTAGGCATGTCTGGGCATTTTAGATTGCTAGTTAGATAGTGATAAAAACAAAAATCTAAACACAAGCGTTTTAGACCAGCTGAACCCACAGCTGAAACCATCTGGCACATGCTGGTCATTATCCTGAAATCCTTTTGCTGTCTGCTAAGGCAGAACTGTTCTACATGTGAGGAGGTAAACTGGGGATTATCTTGTATCCAGTAACTGTGGGCAGTGGGGTGACAAAACAGCATCTCCAGGAGGGCTTTAAGAAGCCTGGGCAGGACTGAACTTTCTAAGAGTCTTTCTTTTCTGTTTTAAGACTGGGATCCTGAATATGGTGGCTTTACCTCCTACATTGCCAAAGGTGAAGATGAAGAGGTAAGGACCTCAGTTACTAGCTGCAAATCAGATAAAATTGTTTAGAGTGGAGTGATATAATTACACTTTGTCACACACTAACATAATCCTGAGGGTGCTCAGTGTTGCTCTGGAGCCTTCTTGCCCCACTCCCTGCTCATGCTTCAAGAGGCTGGCGTTCCCCTAAAGTGTGAGACCTGGGCCCTGACAGTGCCTCACAGCACCTGGGGCCACGTGGGAAGCCTGCCCTGGAGGGAAACAAGGCTGTAGCAGAGATGACACTTTTCCAGGGGGTGCCATTCACTGGGGTCACACCCAGCATCAGTACTAATGACAGTGCTGAGCAGTCATACCAGTCCAGAACCCCTTACTCTATAATAATGCTTCAGGTTAAGGGGTATTAAAGTGAAAATGGTGTCACAGTTAATTTTCTAACACCAGACTTTTGCTCTGACTAACTTTTGAAACTTTTGTTTCTTCTTCTTCAGAATTCTATCACAGCCGTTTTTATGACACTGATTTCCTCCCTTCCTCTTGTGTCTTCTAGCTGTTGACAGTGAATCCAGAGGACAACTGCTTGGCCTTAGTTTACAGAGACAAAGAAACTATGAAGTTTGTGAAATACATCAACCATCGTAGCTTGGCACGCCTGAACAAGCATCCAAACAGAACAGGATTTTGGGATTTTTCCTTTGTCTATTACGAGTGATGGTGCAGAGTGTGACACTGTCACAGGAAATGGTGGTGGGTGGTGGGCAGGTTCCTGTCCAGGCATTCAGCTGGGACCTAAGTGCAGACAAAGGTTGCTGATGCAGCTTCATCACGCTGCATACTGTGGGGTCTAGGTGGCTTTTTTACCTGTACAAATGAAATTCAGTCTCCTCCCAAGTCCACTGCAACACACACCCTGAACTGCTTTTAATGCTATGTGGAGAGGGTTGTCCCACAACCATCAGCTTTCCAGCTGTGCTCTCATAGGAGCAGCACAGTGGTGTCTCTGAGCTGTCAGGGTGAGAATTACAACTGTACATTGCCCCGAGCTGATGACTGTTTTTATTAAAAAAGAAAAAAAGGAAATGGGTCAGTTAAATGCTTCAAACACTGGTCGAGCAAGTTTTGTTACAAAATGCCCAAGACATTTTCTGGGGCTTAACTGGGTTCCCTGTTTGCAGAGGCAAAAATAAAGGAGCTGCCCTGGGAAATATGAGGTTTTTCCAGCTGCACAGCTCTGGGGAGTTGGGAAGGAAAACAGTGAGGCTATAAAGCTGCTGGCATGGGGAAGGCCCTGGCACTGTAACAAGGAGCAGGACTTTATTATGCTAAATGCTGTGCAGACAGACCCAGATGCAGCCCTTTTTCCAAAGGATTTACAAGCTAAACAGCTGAGAGAAGAAACTTGCTCCTGTGCACTCTACTTGGTGGGTGTGCAGACACCTCCTGGCTTCAGCTGTGAAAGGGTTGTGGCTCCAGCCTAGAGCCAGGGGTGGTGGGCTGGCAGCAGGAATGTGGTAACTTACCTCTGCCTGGCTTGTCATCCACAGGCGGTAGGAGGGTCTCCAACAGCATGGCCTCCTGTCCTGTTAGTGATGTCCTGGGATCTGCTGGGTTCTGATGCCTTCTGTCACTGGGGATCAGCTCAGGTCTTTCGAGGCAGCAGCCAGCCAGGTCCTGTGGTAAACAGTACAAGAAGGGCAGTGGTCTTGGTGCAGCACCTCCTCCCTGCACGTGCTCTCAGGCTCTGTGCCTGCCCCACGTCCACTGCAGCAGAGCTGTGCTGATGCTTCCAGAGCCAGCCAGAGTGCTCAACGCCCTGCTGGAGGCTCAGCCCTGGCCTGCACCTGCTTGCCTGAAACTTCTCTTGGCACTGAGACACGGGTGTTCCTTCAGCTCATCCAAGCCAGACCGTGCAGGCCACAGGCTCGCAGTGAGCTGGGGAGAGTGTGCACCTCTCATTCCTCCTGCCTCTCCTGGGCTGGGAGAGGGGAGCTTTGGAGTAAAGTCTGCTCCTTCTCTAGTTCCAGGCCTGTTGTGAAGACCACCACAGTGGTGTAAGACCACAGCTGGCAGCAGAGGAGCAGTGAGCCCAAAGCAAGGCCAACTGCTGATGAGTACTCTGCACCCTTTGCCGAGCAGGTGAGGTGTCCTGTGGGCTTGTCTTCATGAAGATACAGGAGCAACAGCCTTCAGCTTCAATCCCAATACACAAGGGTCAAAAAAGGATTCCCTGAGGCAGTTTGCAGGAACCCCTGCCCTTGCTTCCAAAGGGAAAGGTGTTTGAGCCCCCACAGGTGCCAGAGCAAGGGGACAACACTGTCCTGCACTCCTGTTGTGCAGAACTCTATAGCTCCAGGGTCAGTTCCATCCCAGATTACAAGCAGTTGTTCAGTTCTAGCTACTCCCTCCTGCACTGCTGAACGGGAAGGACAGCTGGGAGGTGGTTGTGCTGAGCTGCAGTTGCAAGATCTACACCATCTTCTTCACATTCTGTCTCCTTAAGATGGCTTCTCTGTGCACTACCAAGACTTTCTTGCTTAGTTTTAATCTTCCTTTGCTACTTACAAAGACAATGGGATGAAGCTAGAAACTAATCCTGAAGTAGGACAGGACTCTGAGTTACTGGTTTCTGAGGCACTCTGCTGCCCATTGGGGCAGCAGCTCTTCTTGGGGAGAAAGCAGTTCTTATTCTGAGCTGCTCCAGTTGAAAGAAACAAGTAATGGAAGCTTCAAAGAACAAAAACCCAAAATTATTTGTGTAGTTTTGAACTAAAGTGACAGATACCACAGTTATTGACAGCACAGTCTGCTGGGCAAAGTTGGGAGTAAATTAATTAACAAAATGAAGTTGCTTCTTTGACCACATTTTGAGCCTATGAATGTGCTTGGCAGATCTTGGAACCGCCTCCCAGGAGACTGGGAGAAGCTGGGCTCTCTAGTTTGCTGCTTTTTAATAATAAATACTACACTAGAGGGCATAGCAGCGTCAGCTTGAGTGAGGCCCTATCTACCTGATCACACAAAAAACCACCTTTCTGCCTCCGGTGACTCAGATGGAGTAATTTAGGAAGCCAGATTTGCGGTTGGCTTTCAAAGATTTAAAAATGAACACGTCTCTGCTCTCCCACCCTTCCTGTCCTAGGTCCCAAAAGCCAGAGGCTGGCACTGCACGTACAGAGGAAAGACTCCACACGCTGACATTTCAAATGATGTGAGCTGTGGGGGGAAGAGGGGTCTTACTTTACACAGCACCAGTAATGGGAGCCATCTCTGTAGAGAGACGGGTACAAATCCATATTTACAATTAGGTGTAGCTGCTTGCAAAGTACTCCATCATTATGGAGAGGAATATGAATATGAGACATATATATACCCACAAAATTAATAAGCAGGACAATATAGAAAAATAGGCCCGAGAACCACAAGTGAACAGAGTTACAGAGGGGAAGCAACAGAGAACAGGAACTTCATACCAGGCAAGAAGCCACTGATGAGCTGGGCTGTACGAGGCCGTGCATTTCCCACCAGCTGACTGCACCTCCCAGCCTGGCACTTGAGGCAGGGCACCAGCAGCTTGCAGTTGTTTAAGCTTTGAGCTGTTCACGTACTTCACAGCAAACATTTTGGGACTTGGTGGCCATCGGTTTGGCGAGTAGCTGAAAACAGGAACAATTCAAATACGGAGATAAGACAGTTCAGCTGTAGAGCAGCCTGAAGAATTATTCCAGCATCCATAAACAGGCAGCAAAGCTCTGCCATTGGGTATTCAGTGAATTACTATGAAGATGAGCAGCACTGCACAGGGCTTGAAGAAACAGGGGCTGAAATCAGATAACCTGTCAGTTCCAACTGCTTTTTCACCTCCAAACTGGAACTTGAATTAGGACATGGAATCACTGCTATACAGATCCCTCTCCAGCAGGTGCTGATCCAGCACAGTACTGCTGTAGTGCATTGCCCAGGCAGGGAAGGGGCCATACGAGGAAGGTTCCAGTCCAAACTGCCACGTCCCAGCAGGGCAGGACAGTGGTCTAGACCCTATCCCCAGCACACATACCAAGGTGTGGTGCCATCTGAGCAGCCCTTGCCCATGAATTCTTAGCAACACACAGCTCTACTAGCACCGTTTCAGAGCTTATTCTGTACTTGACCATCAGCTTGACCTGCTGAGTGCAGTTCCCCTCCCATACCCAAAAATGGTCGTTGGTCCTGGGCTAAACTCTACCAGTGGGGACTGTTTGCCACTGGTCTCCTGGGACAGGCTCAGTTTATGCCAGCTTGCTACTGCACACCAGCTTTATTTCAACAGGCAACTGCAAGCCTGGTATCACCTCAGCTCACAGGATGTGCATTTTTCATTTGGCAGATGGAAGTTGGCTTTACAGGAAAATAAAGTACCAATTTGTTGTCAGAAACTTAGATGGGGGAAATCAGTGTTATCAGAGGACTGGACAGTGAGCAAAGGACTGACCTTGCCAGGAGCAAAACAGAGCTGGGACTGGCAGTGCCTGGTGCGAAGTCCTGAAAATCAGGCTGATGGGAAAGCTGCTTTCTGATCACAGCCACTCTCTTATCATTAAATGGAGTACATAAATATAAGCAAGCAAGCATTAGGATTTTGAACATTAAGAACAGGAGGTTGAAACAGTGGGAACAGGTACAGCAGGTGGCAGAAAGCCCAGCACTTATGCCAGGAGACTGTTCCATAATCAAGTCTGAGCTCACCTGCTTAGAACAGCATGGGTGGCTCACCACCCCTTTACCAAGGAGCTGGATTTGACTAACAGCAGGCTCTTAAAAGGATTCAAATGAGCTCCTGCTGTGGATTTGAAGTGACAGTGGTCTGTACTTCCACAGCACAGTTCTCTGTATGGAAGGGACTGAATCAGTGGCAAGGGGCAGTTTTGGGGATTAAAACACATTGTAAGAATTACATTCCCCACTCACCTGGTCACGTGCTCACCAACTGCTCTCTAACAAACGGCAGCTTGATGGTTTTAATTCAGTAGTGGCTCGTAAGAGACAGACCAGTTACAGGACACAAATCCTCCTGACAGCCCCAAGAAGTGACCCAAGAACTCCATTTCAGGGGATGGGCCGACTCCTCCCCACCTGTGTCACAAACCCCGACCCGCACAGCAGCAGGTGTGATGCACGGCACAGAACGAGGAGCACCAGGGCTCAACCTCCACCCTGGGCAGGATATTTTTAGCTTCTAAAGAAATCTGCTTTGGCAAAGATTCAAAAATACCTTCAGATCTAAGATAGAGAGCCTTACTGTAATATTGTAATCCAATTCAAAGAGATTCCGCAATTAAACAGGTTTGAGCCAGGAACCAAATGAGTTTTCAGTACCTTCTTCTTTTGATCCCATTAGGTACTGCCAGCTCTTCATGAGTATGCACCAAGCTTGGGTGTGTAGTTTGTTTCTGTTGTTCCTGAAATGCACCCTTGCCCACTTCAGTAGCTGCAGTTTTTCCAGCCATAGCACAGAACCAGTAGCTGGAAGCAAAACTTCCTGCAATCCAGGCGTGGGGAAGTGTCGGATATGAAACACAGCACTTCCTACCTGCACACATCATGGAACTGGATGGCTGTCAAAGGTCTGGCTTAAAAGCCAGCAAGGAGATGTTATCCCTCTGGTGCTTCTAGTGCACTGCACTGCAGTTTCCCTGAAGAGCCACACATCCCTGCAATGAAACCCGGGATTCTCCAGCACGGGGAGTTCAAGTGCACACAGACTATGCAGCAAAAGGCAGAGAAGTGGTTTGGGTTGGATTTTTCAACAAATAAACTTAACACTACACATCTCCCCAGCTAAATCAAAACAAAAGCAGTCAAGTCAGTCTATGCTTTAATGGAAAAGGTCAATGCCTTAACTACAAAATATATTTAAATACATAAATAAGTTACTGTAAGAAAAATAACTGCTTGAACATTATACCTCTGTCTTGCATAAACACCACATCTGCACTTAAGCTCTGATGCTCTCTCCATGAAGCTTTGGCCCACATATTTTCCAGCTGACAGCTTAACTACGATGCTACCTTTGGAATTCCTTCCCCCTACGGTGGAGTAGGAGACTGAATGAACTGCTTGTCACCC